TGCAACGTGCAATCAAATACAAGCAGTGAAACACCAGTAACCCACCCAAACACTGGGGTGGATGGGCCGCCACATAAGCCCACTGCATCTCTTTGAGCGCCAAAGGGGTAGTTTAATAAACTAGGAGGAACAGAAAACGAAGAAGCAGAAAAATAGTGATGAAGAATTCCTGCACTTCGGACGCACCAGAGAAGCAGAGGTTGAGGGCTGGCGAGTAGACGAGGAGAGTGACTTTGTTGGTGTGGCGGGCGAAGGCACGTTCAGTGTACGTCGGGGGAGAGGGAGGCCCCAGTGCAGGCAGAGAGAGCGGGAGAGGGGAAAACAGGGCGGAACATTGCTGTGACGCCTCGTCTTTATTGTTTATGTTTGTCTTTGGCTCCCCAAAAGGCAAGGATGACCGCGGTATAGGGGCAGGAGCAGGGGCATATGGGCTCCCCGCACCGTCTTTGCCAGCGGGGGGGCCCCTGACGATACACCAGGAGCCGAGACAATATACAAGTAAATGAGGGGCCCCCTGCAGGGCCTCCAGCCTCAGAGGAGCTCGAGGGGAGAGAGGGACGATAGCAGCAGATTGACGCGAGGGAGTGGAGAAACCGCAGCAGAAACGAAGATTGAACGAAGAGGAACAAGGGGCGATACACCCCGAAGAGGCCGCCCCATCGTCAGAAACATTACCACCACCTGGATCTGCGCTGCATGCATCGACTCCCGAGGCCGACCACATACTANATCGTCAGAAACATTACCACCACCTGGATCTGCGCTGCATGCATCGACTCCCGAGGCCGACCACATACTAGTCAACTGAAAGAAGAGAAAAAAAGTAGCCTACACGAGATGTAAGCCAAAAAAAACGGAGGACGAACGCCTCAAAGGTGAACGCGCAATAACAAACCAGAGACAGGGACTGGCATCGCCTCGCGCTACACTGCACGATTAATCATGTGAACGAAAAAATAATAATAATGATAATAGGTTTTTTATATAAATAATAATTATGGTTGCGTTACTTCAGTGATGGGTCTTGAGGAGGAGGCGCAGCTGGATTTGGTGTTTTCGTTTGGAGCCGAATTGCAATAAAGAAGCGGCAAAAGAATCAGAAGAGGGGCATTTACTTATTCCCTTCTTCGATGTGAATGCAAAGTGTAAGGTATTTCCTGTTGAGATGGAGGGAGAAAGGGAATTTCAATGGGTTGGCTTATGGGTATGCAGAGGCGCGGCGCCTCGTAGAGGTGCAGAGGTGAAGTCTTAGGACATTAACATGTTGTAAATATTTTGAAGATTCATAAAACGCATTGATGCTTCTTTTCTGTATTCTCTGCTGAAAATCAACGCGGAATGCAGCCATATTACCGCCCCGAGCCAGTAACTAGACAGCAGCCGGTCGTGTGACTGTCTGCCCTTGCCGCACACTCAGGTGGAGATAAAAAGAATAAATGCATCAATTAGCAGTTAGAACAAATCATTTCGCTTTAATATTATGATTTTAATGAGAGGGAAATTTGTTGAATTATATTTTATCTGCTGTATCCACACGAATCGCTGTCGGCCGCACAGCACGGCGGATCGAGCAGGGTGGGCCCGGACGAACCGGGAACATCAGCTGTTCATCTCATCGCAATCCTCTTATAAAACAGCTTTACTAGTTAATTTAATATTAAGTTAGTATTTGAAAAAAACTTGTCAATCAACTCCATTAAGTATGCGTGCGCTGGAGACGAGTTTTGGGCGTATGTGCGTACCCCAGGAGGTAGGTGACCACCACTATGGCGACTCGCTGCGATCACGCTTCATAAGAAAGCCAAATAAAAACATTATTTACTTGTAATGAGAATATTAGGAATGGATGAAGTTATATACTTGAGTTTGAAGGAATAAATCCGGCGAAACTTATGCAGGCTGCGCGGTGGAAACGATGACAGTCTACCGGTATGAACGAAGCTGGTGTGAATATTCTTCTGTGCATCCAGATCTTTGCTGAGGGGCAAGCCCCCGGCTTGCATTCAGAATGCAGTGAAAAGGATGAATAATTTAATTGTTTAACAGAAACCGGGTGCTGTGCTGATCCAGCGAGGTGGCTAATATACAGGTCAGCTTGAACAGAGAGAACTGCCGTCTGTCAAGTGAATTGTATAATCATCGCATGAAATGAATGCACAAAAGTACTGAATAAGCAATCAAAGAGAGAAAAAATACAATGATTCAGGATGCACATAAAACAAGCTCAGAACAAACTTCGCCAGGATGTCCATCCCCCCTCTTTGTGTTCAACGCTATTGCAAAGTCGTTGAATTTTAAATTAAGATCAAATATTTCAAAACAATTTTCATTAATATTTTTATATTTTTTAATAAATTGTTGGATTCAAACGTAAGTTAAGACACTGCTAACTTTGATGAGGAGGGGAATTTATTATTCTCTATTTGATTAAATCATATTTCTTTTTGACTCCTCTAAGCTATTTCAAGCGTACTAAGGGCAATGCAAATACCACAAGGCGCAGTTTGTTGAACTTCAGCTATGTAATATATATATATATATATATATATATATATATATATATATATATATATATATAT